TCAGACGAACTATGCCCGTTTATTGCGAAAAAACAACATGCTTCATTTATCGTAGTGCCACAGCGGAAGAAGCGTTGCCGAAACTTTGGGAGTGCAGAGCCTGACATCTTGCCGAAGTACACTTCGCCCCATCCCAGCCACAGCTGTCTCCGCAGCAGCCTAGGATGTGGGACTCGACCTTTCGCACCACGAAGAGGCTGCAAGCATCGCTGTAGGAGGCTTGCCGCCAGTCTCCAGCGAAGAACAGAATATCGTGACTTCGCCGCTTCATCTCGTCCACAATCTCCTTGCACTCTTCGTGGCAGACGTGCCTCAAAGCCGTCTGCCAGATGTACATGCTGCCGTTACCCTTCGCAATCTTTGCTTTTTCCACGTCCTCCAAGGATTCCGCACATTTGCTGGCGTCCAACCCTTCAATGGCCTGGAGCCTGGCCGTGCTCCGATCTTTAAAGACTATACCATGCCTCGACCTATCAAACATGTCGTCAAAGTTCTTGAGAAAGGCAGCACAAAAGTCAACAGCTGCAACGCGGATCAGATCTGCGTCTTCGGGCCGTGGCAATATTTCAGGCGTTTCAGGTGACGAGTCGGACACGCATGAGCAATTCACAGCCCAGAGCTGCGCATCTGGATAACTTTCCAGTAGCGCAGCGGGAGAAAACGAGACCTCCCCTCTAGTAAGCGGAAGCATGAACTCTCTTGACAATTCACCTTCATTCTGACCAACTCGACAAGAGCATTCACCATCTGGATCATCAAACGCAGAACCTTCAGTCCCCCACAAAGCTCCCCAGAAGGAGCAGCGACCGCTAAAGCGGCCGCCATCCTTCATCCGCCACTCTTCCAGCTTCTCTTCCGGAGATAACTTCTTGCGCCGGGACAGCCATCCCCACTCCAGGCTGGGCCGGGCACCGGAAACGGCCACAAAGGCCAGAAGCGCCGTGGCTACATGGAGCATTGAAATATTTCACAAACACCTGGCTTGACACAAATGGCGACTGGACACTGTAGAGATCTGTAGAGCCTGTGGTCAAGCGGAACT